CCTATAGCAGCCTCCTTGTCTCTGTGCAGTTCCAGCACTGAACGCTCTCGATGCTGATAATGACAGGGGATGCTCGATACTCGTCGGGCAGGCACATCGCCAGGAGGGAAACGTCCTTCAGTTGGAATACACACGAGGCTAGACTCTATAGGATAAAGTATCCCCTCACCAGCTCCACTGAACTGGTTGGGTCTGCTCTAACCCGTGAAGAACCTTCCTTCTGACACCTACTTTCCACTTCTCCCTGAATTTCTCCCAAAGCGCTTTCGTCTGAGTATCCCTCTCACGGAGTGCTCCCTCAACCTTCTCCCTTGCCGCAGCTGCCATCATATGAGCCTGAGGGCCAACACTACTCTCTCCACTTAATCGACCTCCACCTCTTGTGTCTTCTTCAATTCCTTCTCTTTCCTCATCAAAACATCCGATACCTCATTGAGCTCCTTCTGAAGAACCTCCTTTTCTCTATGGCTCTCCTACACGCAATTTTCCCCAGCAATCACCAATAAGAACAACGCCTACTTTAAGCACCCTCTCCAGTTCATCTCGCTTACGACTGCATAGCTCTGTCACCGTCTTCAGCTTCCCCTCCAACCCTCTTCGTATATCCTGCTCTTCCAACAACGCCTGATGAGAGCATCCTTCACAAATAGTGACCAAGAACCCCAACACTGGTGGTGTATTTCGGATTTCCTACAACCCCGAATCTGTGATATCTGTGCGCCATGTATCACAGGAGAATGTTGCGCACATTGACACTCCAAGAGATTTCGTTATCAACAAAAATGTTTAAGATCTCCGATCGACCCACCTTTGTTTGTGTCTCTGTCTTGGCCGCCAGTTCGTCTGCCTTTCCCTGCAAATCTTGCAGTTCCCTCTCCACATCTTCCCTCCTCTTCTTCTCTGCCTCCCACTGCTCTCGGAGTGTATGTTGCCTCTTCAACGACGCCTCTTCACGTAACTGACGAAAGAAACCACGTCAACCCTCTGATAACATCGCTCTTCTCAAATTTCACGAAATCTCTGTCGGGTTGGCTTCATCGATTAACACACGATGCTATGCT